GTGGCACCACCGGATGGGGCACCCGTCCCTTCCTCGTCTGCGCGCTATGTCTAGTCAGCGTCTTGTCCTAGGCCTCCCACGTGTCTTGCCGTCGCTGCCGCCTTCGCTTGCGCCGCCGTGTGGTCCCTGCGTCGAGGGTCGGCTGCGCGCCACCCCTCACTCCTCCTCCCTTCGTCCGGCTGCCGAGCCTTTTGAGACGCTTCACTTGGACGTCTGGGGCCCCGCCCCTCGTCTAGGCCCTGAGCGTGAGCGCTACTTTCTGGTGGTCGTTGACGACTTCTCCCGCTACACCACAGTGTTCCCTCTGGCGAAGAGGTCTGAGGTGACTTCTAGGCTGATCAGGTGGTTGCTCAGCACCGAGGACACTCGTGGTCGTCGTGTCAGCTGCCTCCACTCCGACCGTGGGGGTGAGTTTCGCTCCGGCATTCTCGCTGGATTCTGTCGCGAGCAGGGCATTCGTCAGTCCTGGACGCTTCCAGAGTCCCCACAGCAGAATGGGGTTGCTGAGCGCCGCATAGGCCTGGTCATGGAGATCGCCCGCACCTCCCTGACTCACGCCTGTGCCCCCCATTTTCTGTGGCCCTACGCGGTCAGGTACGCCGCGCACCAGCTGAACCTCTGGCCACGTGTCTCTCGACCAGAGGTTTCACCGACCAGTCTTTGGACAGGGTCCCCTGGTGTTGCGTCGCGGTTTCGTGTCTGGGGGTGCTTGGCTCTTGTCCGCGACACCTCCGCGGACAAGCTCTCGCCTCGTGCCGTCCCCTGTGTCTTCCTTGGTTTCCCTGAGGACTCCTCTGACTTCACCTTTTACCACCCTCCCTCTCACCGGTTCTTTGACTCCCGTGACGTCCGTTTCGAGGAGTCCACTCCGTACTACGTCAGGTACCCCAGTCGAGGTCTCCAGGTTCCTCCTTCCCCCCTCTTCCTGACTGCCGCTCCCCCTCCTGTTCCCCCGGTACAACCTCCCCCCCCTGGTCCAGCCCCGTCGGGTGTGTCCCAGGCTACCCCTCCTCCTTCGGTAGCCTCTCCGGTACAGCCTCCCTCCCCACAGTCCTCCTCGCAGCGTGCCGCAGGTGCTAGCTCTCGAGAGGTTGGTGCTGCGCCTATTCCTGTACCGGTTTCTGGTTCTGGGGGTTGTGGAGTTGGAGCTGGAGTTGGAGCTGGAGTTGGAGCTGGAGTTGGAGCTGGAGTTGGAGCTGGAGTTTCTGGTTCTGGAGTTGGAGCTGACCCGGTGGGTGCAGAGGACCCTTGTCGTCCGGGAGCTGGTGCTGGTCGCGCGGACACTGGGGGTGAGAGTGCGCCTCCTTCGGGTTCTGGTGAGCCTGGGTCTGGAGCTGGTGTTAGTGCTGCCTCTGGGGGTGGTGCGCCTGGTTCTTCGGGGGTGGACTCTGGAGCTACCGCTGCTTCGGACACTACTCCGCCCCCCCACCCCTACCCGACTAGGCACCAGGCTCGTGTTCGCCGTGCCCGTGACAAGCAGCTGGCGTTGGAGAGAGAGGAGAGGGAGTTACAGCGGCTGGAGGAGCAGCAGCAGCAGCTGGAGCCGCAGGAGCAGCAGCAGCAGCAGCAGCAGCAGCAGCAGCAGCAGCAGCAGCAGCAGCTGGACCCGTAGGAGCAGCAGTCCCAGCAGCAGCCGGTTCCGCAGCAGCAGCAGACGCAGCAGCAGCAGCCACTTCCTCCTCCTGTCTCGGGTCTTCGGACCCTTGGTCTCCCCTCCCCTTCTTCGCCCTCCTCCGCCTCTCCTCCTGTCTACGGTCCCACGTTTCCTCCTCCTGACTCCTCCCCCGCTGTTTTCCCCAGTTGTCCGCCTTTGTCCTCTCCTCCTCCGTCTCGTTCTTGGGCTACTCGTCGCTCCCCTCGTGCTCGTCCCTCGTCTCCTGTTCCCGTCACTGACCTTCGTACTGCCTTCCTTCTTTCTAGTCCACCTCGTCCGTCTCAGTCTGTGCTTCCGTCTCCTCCTGAGTCGGCCCTCACTGTGTCGCTCCCTACTCCTGTCACTGACTACTACCGCGCGTACCGTCCTGTTCTCTCTCGTGTTCTCGCCTCTCTTGTTACTCACCCTCGTGCCTCTTTGTCCTCTGTGTCCGCTCTTACTGCCGCAGTTACTGACTTTGCCTCTACCCGCCGCCTTGACTACGCCACCACGCTTGTGGCTGCTCCTCCTACCAGTCCTCTGGCCGTCGGGGGTGTGTCTGCCCTTGGCTGTGACGCCCTAGAGGACAGGCAGTTTGAGCTAGAGTTCCTGGCGGCCGCTTCCCCTCATCTCTGTGCCATGCTCCTCGCCCCTGAGGGTGACCCCGACGCCCTTGACATTCCGACTCCTCGCACTTACGCCGAGGCAGTGTCAGGGCCTTGGGCCTCTCAGTGGAGAGCTGCCATGGACGCAGAGATGGCCTCCTACAGATCCACAGGCACCTACGTCGATGAGGTTCCCCCCCCTGGGGCGAACGTAGTTGACGGCATGTGGATCTACAGGGTGAAGCGGCCACCGGGATCTCCCCCGGTCTTCAAGGCGCGCTACGTGGCTAGAGGTTTCAGTCAGCGCGAGGGAGTTGACTTCTTTCAGACCTTCGCACCTACCCCGAAGATGACCACTCTTCGGGTGTTACTACACGTAGCAGCACAGAGAGACTACGAGTTACACTCTCTCGACTTCTCCACTGCTTTCCTTCAGGGCAGCCTACACGAGGAGGTCTGGTTGCGTCGTCCCTCGGCCTTCACTGGCACCTTCCCTCCTGGGACCCAGTGGAGGCTGAGGCGACCTGTTTACGGTCTTCGCCAGGCCCCTCGTGAGTGGCACGACACTCTGCGTTCTACCCTCTCTGACCTTGGGTTCCAGCCGTCTTCTGCCGACCCGTCGCTGTTCGTTCGTCGTGGCTCCACACCGTTCTTTGTTCTGGTTTACGTCGACGACCTCGTTTTCGCCACTCCGGACAGGGTTGCTTTGGCAGACGTGAAGTCCAAACTGCAGAAGAGACACACGTGCACTGATCTTGGTGAGCTGCGCCACTACCTTGGCCTGCAGATCACCAGGGACAGAGCCGCTCGCACCATTACACTCTCATAGTCACACATGGTGCAGCAGATCCTTCAGCGGTTCGGGCTTCAGCACTCCACCGTACAGCGCACACCTCTCGCTGTTGACCACAGACTCACTGGTCCCTTTCCTGACGAGCCGTTTGAGCCTAGTGGTCCCTACGCAGAGCTTGTGGGTTGCCTAATGTACCTGATGACTTGTACTCGCCCGGACCTCGCCTTCCCTCTCAGCATCCTTGCGCGCTTTGTTGCACCAGGGAGACACCGTCCTGTTCACTGGACGGCAGCTGTGAGGGTGGCGAAGTACCTAGCGACTACATCAGGCGTGGGGCTAGTTCTTGGAGGGCAGCAGTCTGTCGTACTCACTGGTCACTGTGACTCCTCTTAGGCTGACGACGCTGAGACTCACAGGTCTACTCAGGGGTACTGTTTCAGTCTGGGTTCTGGAGCTGTTTCCTGGCGTTCCACGCGCTCCTCTTCTGTCTCGACCTCTACAGCTGAGGCTGAGATTTACGCTGGTGCCATGGCGGCACAGGAGTTGCGTTGGTTGACCTTCTTGCTCGCCGACCTTGGTGAGCGGCCGAGCTCTGCACCGACCTTGTTCACTGACAACAAGGCGTCGATCCTCCTCTGTCGTGAGCCGCGACTGGAGAGCAGAGTGAAGCACATTCACGTCAAGTACTTTCTTCTGCGAGAGTTGCAGAGACGTGGACAGGCTCGCTTCGAGTTTGTGGAGTCCGAGGCCAACACTGCAGACATCTTCACCAAGGCGCTTCCGCCTCGTGACCACCAGAGGTGTTGTGTGCAGTTAGGCCTTGTTGACACAGGTTCTAGTCATGTGTAGGCTTGAGTTTATTGCCTGCTTCGTCTGTACTCTTGCTATATATACTTGTGATCTCTTGGACTGGCCTTGTGGCCACTGTTGCTTGTGCTCAGAGAGTGTGGTGACGTTGTGATCCACCCTGAGCTTTGTTTTCTTTTGGACTGGTCTTGTGACCGTACTCTTTTTTTTTATTTTGCTAGACACCCCTCACTTAGGCTATGGGGGTGTGTCAAATGTTGTAGCCTGTAGTGAGGTTTGTCTTAGGGGGTACAGAAGTTAGGGTTTGTTATATGTACCCCAACCAACATCAATGGCATCATCATTCCTCATTCTGACAGATGCTTACCACTGACCGTGTGTGATGCGGCAGAAGAATCCGTGCTATATGTACAGTGAGGCATTTGATTTTGATCGGACTTGCAACTGATTGTTTGTGTTGATCAATTGCTATTGGAATTCCACGCTAGGCAGGGAGTTTTGGTCTGAACAGAGTGGTTGAGTCCAACCTTCAACCAACTTAGCTACTCGAGTTTATTCAAGGCACCACAGTCGCCAAACTGGCCAACCTTGCTAGGATTGGGTGGTCAATAGATTATATGCCTCCTAGCATTGTATGTTTCCGTTGCCCTCTTTCCATAGTTAATTTTAACTCATATTTCCCTTGAAATGTTAACGGTTTCTGTATATCAGGAGTTATCCCCTGTGTTGTGAAGGTCCATCGCCCCACCTTCCCAGAATTTCCCAATCTTCCCCTCTCCCCTCCTCCCCTCCGTTCCCCTCCTCTCCCCCAACACAGCACACGTTCCTCGTCCGCCACGGCTTGTATCTTCTTGCCAAGCCGACGTTCCATGCGTAACTCGACTGTCTTGAGTTACGACATTTTCACTACTGCCGCCTTGAGTGGCAAGGTCAGGTAGAAACGTTGTCGAAACGGTGTTACTTATTTATCAAACGTTTGGAGTTCCTCTTCTCCAGCATTGCTCGTCGCTACGAGCCATAAACTCCAACGCAATCAAGCTCGTGTATAAATGGTTCGAGAGGATAGAGGACCCGCCTTTTGCCAGTCCAGCCTTTGTCAATCGACCCTTCGCCAATCCACCCTTCATCAGGACAGCCGTTGCCTCTCAACGGAGGCACCGCGATGGAGCATGGGATGTCGCCACTGCACCATCTCCTTGACAACAGCCCTTCGCCGCAGCATCGTCTGCTCGGCAATAGTTCTATAGACAGAATTCCCACATTCGAGCAGCTCGCACGCAGACAGGACGAGTCAGACGACAGATTCGCCCGACGAATCTCCGAGGATGCTTCCAGCGTGTCGACGGACGCCCACGATGCCCACGTTGAAACTCCCTGGACGGTGTGGTCAGCGGAGTCAGAGGTTTCTGTTCCCGCTGCTCTCGCGACGTTCCAAAATCCCGCGCATCCTGCTTCGTATTACCCGCAGCCTAGCCAGGGGACCGACGTTGCTGCCGCATCTGCCGCCGCTGCTTCCGCTCATGGAGCTCCTGAAGCCGCGGGTTCGCTGCTCACCCAACTTCCCCCGCAGTTATTGGAGGCGCTGAACTACATATCCGACCCGCAACCCGGCGAGACGGAAATTTGCGTGCTCTCGCTACACCTCGCCGGTGCGAAGGATATGAAACTCATGGCTCGCGACGCCGCGGTATGCAGTTCCATGGTTGAGATGGGAGCAGCGAAAAATCTGGTGTTGATTATAAACGGCGTGATAGGAGCGGAGGAAGTTAAGGATTTGATGGATTTCCGGTATCAAGTTGCTGAGGAGGCAGCTGCCGCGCTGCTGAATCCGTCTCTAGATAAGACCGCCAAGCACATGATAGGAGCCATGGCGTCATCCCTTGCATTGTGAGATTGGCTGGCGTCACACGCAGCAGCCCAGCCAGCCATGATGACGGAGACGCCAGGGGTAGTCACGACCAGGGCTAATTTTTTGTTTTCAGCAACCCTTGTGATAAGTGTTGCACAAGCCCAAAAACCTGATTATCAGTGTGACACCTTGTTCAAACCCTGATCCATCAGGGTATTCCTAGTTTTTAAAATTTATACCCTGTAGGATCAGTGTACCAGTTTTGCAAACCCTGATGTATTGATATTATCGTTGGCAGATAGTAACGAAACTCTATTTCTAGCCAATGGAGGCCCCCCTCGTGCCAGCTCAGATATTGCCTCTGCCAAATTTCAGTTTCGACAGTTGGCACGCAAGAACCTCGGGTTACGGGGAAGGGGGGGTTGGGTAGAGAGGGGGGGGGGGGCTTGGGGAGGGTATGTACTCGATTCAGGGTAAAACTCGTTACGAAGATCGGTAACCCTGAGCCGTCAGTGTACCTTAAATGTAAGCCCTGGCCTATCAGGGAAATACAAGCTCCTGAAAAAATTACCCTAAGGCATCAGTGTGATAGCCAAAAACCACCATGATTATCAAGGTATCAGGGTGATTTACCCTGATAAAATTAGCCCTGGTCACGACTTACCCTACAACGCTCAGCAAGTTGACATCAGCAGCCGTTCCGACAATGGCGCCAGCACGCCGAGCACCAGCGCCGCGCGTTTGCGTCTCAGAGAGCTCGCAATGGAGATAATTCATAGTCTCGCTATGGAGCCAGCACTGAAAGAGGAGTTAGTGGATCAGTTCGTGGTGGAGCCGCTGGTAGGCCTGCTGAGGGAGCCAGCATGCAGCAAGAAGGGACGGATGCACGCGTTGTATACGCTCTACCTCCTATCAAAGTGCGGACCTGGTAGAATGGCTCTTGTCGATCGAGGCGCAGTGCCTTTGCTGCTGGAGGTGGCGCTGTGCGGTATGCAGACAGGCAGCCATCTGCCGCTCCTTCCGGGCGTGGGGCTTCAGAAGCCGCGGGTTCGACGCTCACCCAATACCCGCCGCAGTTTCCCCAGGCTCTGCGGAACTGCTACTCCGCCCCGCAACCCGGCGAGTCGGAAACGTGCGTGCTCTCCCGGCAGCTCGCCGGCGCGCGGGAGGTTAAAGTTATGGCTCGCGACGCGGCGGTATGCGCCCCCATGGTTGAAATGGGAGCAGCGAAAGTGCTCTTGTCGCTTGTTGACAGCGTGATAGAAGCGGAGGAAGGAAGGGAGTTCATGGATTCGCGGTATCAGGTTGCCGAGGAGGCAGCTGCCGCGCTGCTGAATCTGTCTCTAGATAAGACCGCCAAGCACATGATGAGGAGCCATGGCATCATCCCTACCATTGTGAGGTTGGCTGACATCAAACGCAGCAGTCCAGACTGCCCTGACGGTGCCAGTGGTAATGCTCATAATTTACCCAACAGTGCCCAGCAGAATGACACCAGCAGCTGTTCTGGTGGTAACGCCAGGACCGACACCTCCACCCGCACCAGCTCCGCGCATCTGCCCCTTCGAGAGCTCGCAGTGGCGGTTATCCACAGTCTTGCACAGTCAACAACGCTGAAAGAAGATTTAGTGGATCAGTGGGTGGTGCAGCCGCTGGTAGGCCTGTTGAGGGAGCCAGCATGCAGCAAGGAAGGACAGAAGGACGCCTTGTATGCGCTCTACCTCTTATCAACGTGCGAGTCTGGGAGGTTGGCTCTGTCATATCGCGGCGCTGTGCCTTTGTTGCTGGAGGTGGCACTGTGCGGCACGCAAAGAAGTGGCCATCTGTATGTGAAGCAGTCAGGAAGATTCTTTGACAAGGCCATTCATGCAGTGGCAAATGTATCCGAGGAGCGATCAGGACTTTCTGCTTTGGTAAGCAGCAAAATTAATTGCTGGTCTAGTGAAGATGGTGCTGCTGGCTCTGATGGCTGCCCTCAAATTGGGCATGGGAGCTACATTGAAGTTTCGGGACTACAAGTGCTTTTCAAGCTGCTTGCAAATGGGAGCGAGGTGACGAAGCAGCATGCTGTTTCGACTCTGCACGGGATTGTCAGAAATGCTGGGCAATGCGGTGCGCAAGTTTTAGATGAGATCTGGTCCTTGCGGCAGAAGGAGAAGCCGAGGCCCCATTTGGGGGCTTTAGCAAACGCTGGATCGGCCAAAGCCCAGCAACTCTTGATGGTGTTGTTTCCTGCCAAGGTGGCCAAAGAAGCAGCAACAGGCTGACTTGTCTAGTGCCGTTGTGAACTGCTATTCCATCAGCTGGAAGGGGCTCTTGTTTGATTTCACTGTTGTTCGTAACCTGATTGTATGAATGAGGTTTAGGTGGGTTCAAAGACTTGAACGCAATTTTACAGGATTCCGAATCCGCTTATACGTCACCTCGCGTGCCAGCCGCCTGTCGCACCTTCTCAGTCGGTGTAGGGCGCAGCCATTTCATATCCCCAATCCAACACGGCGTTTCCCCGTGCGCCACGCGCGGAATGAGGAAGCCAGTGGGGTCGGAGGATTTGGACCAATGAACGGCGGCGGTCCCCTATCGTCTGCGGTTCAAATCATGACTTGCGCTGGGTGTACAGTCTCTTCGTCCTTCTCAACTCACATTAGCGGAGCCGCTGTATGCTGTCCACGTTGACGCCACTGGCCAACAGCCATCAGGTATTACAATTGTCGTAGATCTATTTCTGAACGGTCTGGATTCATCTGTATCCAGCTTGATTGTTCTGGTAGGACCAATGAAATGCTGCAACCACGCTATCAATGGCAGCTGGGCAGATTGGAGGGATTTGCCCGATGAAAACAATCAACTTATCCTTTAGACCACTCTATACCACATGAAACGCCTTCACGACACAGCTGCTCCTCTTGCTGCACACAAGGTCTGAATGCACAAGAATCTGTCCACGATTCTCCCCAAACCATAGACCAAGGGTCTCAAGAGTCCTAAACTTTCTCGTTCCGTCTTTCCCGTCCTTTATTCACCACGAGTAGAGTCTGTTCTAGTGTCTAGTGTTCACAGGGTTCGATTGCGCGAGCTTAGTATTGCGTAGCTGCTGACGATTGGTCATAACTAGCTAGTATGAACGATTTACCTGTTCATCCGCGAGTGCAGGTACCTGGCTTCCAGAAAAAACTTCTCAGGGCGAACCGAGTCAAAGCTGCATTAGAAAGCATCAGGACTGCAGACCGCAGCAACAACAACAACGGTTGCAGCGATGGTTCCAGCTCCGGAGATGTAGTTTCTACCGCGCATCGAACCAGGCTAAGGGACAATGAAGAAAGTTTGCCGGCTCTTCCGGATACCTATGGCCGTCGTTTCAGTGCTCAAGACAATCACGTAAACTTCTCTGCTCTAACAAATAGCTACGAGAGTTCTGTCACCATCGGGTCTACTGTACCAGCCGCTGGCTCTTCTCATCCTCTTCTTCCCCCTCCTCCTTGTCCTACGCCTCCTGAGGTTCCAGGCGGTTACGCTTTCGGTAACTCCGCTGGTTACAGCTTTGGTCAGCCAACAAGCCACGGATTTTCCCCTTCAATATCCCGCGACTTGGACGGTCCCTCTGCTTCCCGCTCCACTCTTGCTCCCACCTGTTCCGAAGCCTCTTGCCGGAGCATCAGCTCCTGCACAGACACCACTGACACGGAATCTTTGAATTCTCCAGCTTCGTCAAACAGATACTCCGCGCTCGTGCGACCAGTGCTATCAAACGACGCGGTGGCGGAGGTACGGGCAAAGGAACCGGTGCAAAGCCACCATGTAGGGAGACAGCGGATGGGGCAGCTGCTGCGAAATGCTGTGACCAACCTGGTTACGCCGTGTGCGGTTCAGAATCATCACCGTGCTCCACCTGCTGCTGGGACCGCCGCTGCTGCTGTCTCCGTTGCAGCTGTACACCCGCTCCTTGTCACAGATTCGCACCCGACGCCTATACCCTCGCCATTTTGCCCTTCTTCACCGGTCCCTTCCTCACCCACCTCTTCGTCATCGCTCCCCTCCCCCGTCGCTCCCCGCTTATCCTCTTCCTCAGCATCCTCCGCCCATTGCCCTTCCTTCCCCTCCCGTTCCCCCTTCCCTCCGCCTACCCCCTCTCCGCCCTTCAGCCTTTGCCCCTCTCCCGCCGTCGCCATACCATCCCTTTCCGATCTGCACCCCTCGTCTAGAATCTCATCGGGCCTCCGTTCTTCTCGACTTCATTCTACCTCCTCTGTTTCTTCGAATCCCGATGGAGCTGTCGCTAAAGAGCCTGCGTCGCCGCCGTCTCTTCCGCCGGCTTTTCAGCGGGCTTTGCTGGACTGCTGTGCTTGTAGGGACGGGGGCGAGACCAGTACGGCGGTGCTAGAAAGGCAGATGGGAGGTGCGCGGCAGATCAGACATATGGCACGGGATCTAGAGGCGTGCAGAGCGGTGATGGTGGAGAAAGGAGCGGTGGGGGCGCTGTTGCCTCTGCTAGATTGGGCTGAAGGCGGGCCAGGGGTACAACCGTGGGTTGGCGAGGATGGGGGAAAAGAAGTACTGGGGTGTAAGAGTTCACTGAGAGATTTGAGGCTGAAAGTAGTGGAGGAAGCAGCAACAGGGCTGCTTAATCTCTCCATTCACCCTTCAGCAAGGGAACTTATGTTCAGCCTTGGGGTTGTCAACCCGGTCACGCAAATGCTTGGGAGTAGGCAAGGCGGATTTCCACGAAGCAGCAGCGGGAGCAGTGGTGAATTTCTGAGTAACTCCAGGGCTAGCTTGAGTGATGGTGTCGCTGCTGTGCCTGTCCATATTAGAGAGGTTGCAGCAGCACTTGTTTTCAGCCTCTCTCAATCGGCTGAGAATATAGCCGAGCTAGTGAGGCTTGGTGCAGCCGAGGCTCTGGTTCAGTTGCTACAGGAGCCACAGTTCAGCAGTCAGGGGAGGAAAGATGCTTGCAAAGCATTGTCAAACTTCTCAACCATTTCGGTTGGAAGACTCAGCATGATTCGAGCAGGAGCAGTGCCAGTGCTGTTGGAACTGACCCTGATGGGCCATGCTGGGGATGAGTATGTATCTGAGAAGGCCTTGGGGGTGCTTGCTAACGTAGCAAGGGAGGAGGCAGGAAGGGAAGCCATAGTTAATTCACAAGTCAGAGATGGGGCGTGGGATTGGGGTTCTGGGGATCTTGAGCTTCATCAATCCTCTGAAAGCTTAAGAATGGCTTCAGGGCTGAATATTCTTTTGGAATCACTGGATAGTGGCACGGAGCGAAGCCATGAGTTTGCAGTTTCGGCTTTGCTCTACGTCGCAAGGAGCAGCCAGAGCTGGAAGGAGCTGTTGCTGTCGGAGGGGCCTCTTCCATCCGTCAAGGCTGTGGCCATGCGAGGCAACTCTCGCGCGAGAGACAAGGTAAGTGTTAGAATCTTGTTGTCTTTTTAATATCTCACTGTTGCCATTTGGTGACTCTCTGTGTTGTGTGTTGCATGCCTTTTAAGAGACACACCCTCATCCGTACGGTAATTTTTTCTGTTGTTGCAGGCACAGAAGCTGTATGAACTTTTGAGGAGTTGATGCTGTCAAATGTTGTAGCCTGTAGTGAGGTTTGTCTTAGGGGGTACATAAGTTAGGGTTTGTTATATGTACCCCAACCAACATCAATGGCATCATCATTCCTCATTCTGACATGGTATCAGCTAGGTTAGGATCATGTGGGATCCCGTTCCTCCGTTCTCCGTTCGTCCCTCCCGAGCCTGATCCTACCTCTCGTTCGTACCGGTTCCGTTGTTACCGCGCCTAGTACCGAGCCTAGCGCCCTCTCCCCCGTCGCTTAGCGCCCTTTCTCCCCGTCGCCTAGCGCCCTTTCCCCCCCCCCCCCCCGGTCGCGTCGCGCCCTTTCCCCCCGTCGCCTAGCGCTCTTTCCCCCCGTCGCGTCGCGCCCGTTCCCCCCGTCACGTCGTGCCCGCCCTTTCCCCCCCGTCCCGTCGCCCTGTCCCGTCGCGTCGCCCTGCCCCGTCCCATCGCCCTGCCCCGTCGCGTCGCCCTGCCCCGTCCCGTCACCCTGCCCCGTCGCGTCGCCCTGCTCCGTCGCGTCGCCCTGCCCCGTCCCGTCACCCTGCCCCATCGCGCCGCCCTGCCCCGTCGCGTCGCCCTGTCCCGTCCCTACGCCCTGGCCCGTCGCCCTACCCTACGCCCTGGCCCGTCGCCCTACCCTACGCCCTGGCCCGTCGCCCTACCCTACGCCCTGGCCCGTCGCCCTACCCTACGCCCTGGCCCGTCGCCCTACCCTACGCCCTGGCCCGTCGCCCTACCCTACGCCCTGGCCCGTCGCCCTACCCTACGCCCTGGCCCGTCGCCGTACCCTACGCCCTAGCCCGTCGCCCTACCCTACGCCCTGGCCCGTCGCCCTAGCCCGCTCTTCCGCTGCGACTGAGTCCCCTTCCCACCTGAACCCTAATTTGCCTCTTCTCCCCGGTTGTTACTCGCTTGTTCGTTCGCGTTAGTTCTCACTATGGCGACTCCGCGAGTTCTTCGTTTCGACGCTGACGGTAGACCACTTGACTTTTCCGTCTGGCTTCTTCGCGCTCGCCGTCTGTTAGAGAGTCAGGTCCAGGGGGGCGAGACCCTCTGGTCGCACGCTACTGGTGACCTCCCCGAGCCCCCCGAGCCTACAGCTTTAGGCTCTGCCCCTGACGACGCTGCTACGGCTCGCTTTGCCCGTCAGCGCGCTGACCGGACGGCTTGGACGTCGCGTGATGCTGCGGCCTGCATCGCACTCAGCAGCCTCCTCCCTGAGTCAGAGGAGGTCCACTTTACTCAGGTTCGCACCGCTGCTGCGTACCTCACTGCGATTAAGGCCCGCTACTCTACTCCCGCTACTGTCTCTCTTGGCCGTCTTTTCCTCCCGTTCCTGTTTCCTGATCTCGCCTCGTTTGAGCGCTCTGCTGACTTGATCGCTCACCTCCGCTCGCTCGACGCTAGTTACCGCGCTGCTTGCACTGAGGCACAGCTTGCACTGCTTCCTCCCCCCATGGCGATTACTGTCTATTTCATCGCCACTAGCCTCCCTGACCGCCTAGCCTCCGTTCGTGACGCGCTTCTGCTGAAGCACCCTGGTGAGCTGACTATAGAGGTCCTTGAGTCTGCACTCAAGGACGTCGAGAGCAACCTTCGCTCGGTAGCTGCCGCCTCTGGTACTGTGTCCCCCCCACTCTTCCACGGGTGCACAGTCCCGCAGTTACCCACCTTCACTGCCTCTCTCGCCACTGCCGCT